ACTCTGACTGTCCCCACTCTGACTGTCCCCACTCTGACTGTCCCCACTCTGACTGTCCCCACTGACTGTCCTCACTCTGACTGTCCCCACGCTGACTGTCTCACTCTGTCCCCACTCTGTTCTCACTCTGACTGTCCCCACTGACTGTCCCCACTCTGACTGTCCTCACTCTGACTGTCCCCACTCTGCCCCCTGACTGTCCCCTGACTGTCCCCACTGACTGTCCTCACTCTGACTGTCCCCACTCTGACTGTCCCGACTCTGTTCTCACTCTGACTGTCCTCACTCTGACTGTCCCCACTCTGACTGTCCCCACTCTGACTGTCCCCACTCTGACTGTCCCCACTCTGACTGTCCTCACTCTGACTGTCCCCACTCTGACTGTCCCAACTCTGACTGTCCCCACTCTGACTGTCCTCACTCTGACTGTCCTCACTCTGACTGTCCCCACTCTGACTGTCCCCACTCTGACTGTCCCCACTCTGACTGTCCCCACTCTGACTGTCCCCACTCTGACTGTCCCCACTCTGACTGTCCCGACTCTGTTCTCACTCTGACTGTCCCCACTCTGACTGTCCTCACTCTGACTGTCCTCACTCTGACTGTCCCCACTCTGACTGTCCCGACTCTGTTCTCACTCTGACTGTCCCCACTCTGACTCTCCCCTGACTGTCCCCACTCTGACTGTCCCAACTCTGACTGTCCCCACTCTGACTGTCCCCACTCTGTCCTCACTGTCCCCTCTCTGACTGTCCCCACGCTGACTGTCTCACTCTGTCCCCACTCTGTTCTCACTCTGACTGTCCCCACTGACTGTCCCCACTCTGACTGTCCTCACTCTGACTGTCCCAACTCTGACTGTCCTCACTCTGACTGTCCCCACTCTGACTGTCCCCACGCTGACTGTCTCACTCTGTCCCCACTCTGTTCTCACTCTGACTGTCCCCACTGACTGTCCCCACTCTGACTGTCCTCACTCTGACTGTCCCAACTCTGACTGTCCCAACTCTGACTGTCCCCACTCTGTCCTCACTGTCCCCTCTCTGACTGTCCCCACGCTGACTGTCCCCACTCTGACTGTCCCCACTCTGACTGTCCCCTCTCTGACTGTCCCCACGCTGTCTCACTCTGTCCTCACTCTGTCCCCACTCTGACTGTCCCCACTCTGACTGTCCCCACTCTGACTGTCCCCACTCTGTCCTCACTGTCCCCACTCTGACTGTCCCCACTCTGACTGTCTCACTCTGTCCTCACTCTGTCCCCTCTCTGACTGTCCCCTCTCTGACAGTCCCCACTCTTACCATCCTCACTCTGTCGTCACTCTGACTGGCTCCCTGCTATGTAAGGACAGGTCTTGGGGGGGCACTGAGGGCTGCTTCCTCCCCCAGCCCGCCCACCTACTTGCACTTGCCCCGCTCTCTCTGCTGCCCCAGCACTGGGCCCTCGCTCTGGTTAATAGCAGGAGTGAAAGAACTGCCCAGGTCGGGTTCACTGCCTGTTTGTGTAAATAAAACTTAATGGGAGCCAGCTCTTCCTGTCAGGCGGAGTCTCGGCCGTGACCACGTCGGCACTGCGAGCGGAGCTGCCTAATTACAGGCGGCCATATGGCACGCGGGCAGGAACGCCGGCTGACGGCTCACCCCGTGCTGGGGGCGCCGAGTCCCCCCCACGTGCTCCCCTACTGCTGGAAACGCTGCTTTGTAGTCACGGTCAAGACCTCAGGATGTGTGCTTGCTGCACAAACCCTGAAGCTAATCCACTGGCTGCTCCCATCCTCCCACCACCTGCCGCCCCTTCAGACCTCTGCAGCGTCACCGCTGTCCGGTCGTCTGCCACCACTGCCCCTCCTGACCTCTGCGTGTCTGTCAGTGGCCGGCCTGGCCTGCTCTAGGCGCCCTCCTGCCCGGAGCCCAGCAACCCGCTGGTGCGCCTGGGCGAGCCTCTGGCCAGCCTCGGGCTTATTCACTTTTCCTCTCCAATTCCTGTGTGACGCTTTGGCAAGGTACACATTTTTGTTTTCTGGCCACGTTTTAAAGATAAAATTCACCATTTCCTGGTTGTCCTTGCAAAAAGCCAGCCAAGCTAACAAGCATTCCGGCTCAGGCCATCTTTTCGTTCCCTCCTGGCTGCTTTGAAGGGGTCTCGGATTGCTGTGGTAGGGGGTGGGGCATAAATCCCGTCCCTGGACCCGAGAATCCAGGCAGCGCCGAGCCTGGGAAAGACCCAGGGCTGGCTGCTCCTGCTGGACTCTCGGGGTCCCCGTTCCTGGACCCCGTTCTCTCCACTTGCTCTGGACAACCCTTCACTTCCCTAATTCTCTCTCTGCTTGTGTCTAACTTGCTGTGTGTAGGGTCTCCCTGTGTCTTACCTTCCGAGTGGTGCCTTGTCCCTTCCTGCTGCGTCCAATCCCCTTGTCTAACTGCGTTTGACAATGTCGTTGCCTGAGCCGTTAGAGGGTTGATGCACTGTGTCGGGGAGATTGGCCCTCTCCTTGGGCTGGTGCCTTGGGGTTTTCAGCTCGCCTTCCCGGGGGGTTATCTGTGGGGATTCTTTGTGTTCACAGTAGAGATGGTATGGTTCCTCCTGGCAAGTCCCCCAAGCGTCTTATCAGCCAGGGCTCATGGCACCCCACTTCAGGGCCTGAGGGCTCCTTGGCACTCAGCCAGAACGAAGCCAAACCCCAAATCCAGGACAAGTTAGGGGCGTTTCTGCTCAGAGTAGGGCAGGATTCTGACATTTCCTTGGATTCTGTTCTTTCCTGCCCCACTTCCCCTCCAAAGCACAGCTTCTCCAAGGAGTGGGATGACTTCCGGGGCAACCTGAGCTCCAGCCCCGCCTCCATGAGCGCTCTGCCTATTTCTGCAGGCCCATGAAAGCCCACAGCTCCCTTGTTAAAAAAACACCACCCCAAGTCAGCTCACCCCGCGCCCGCATCCGAGCCGGCCCGGCACCGTGTCCTTTGATTTCCAGGCTCTGGTTTTCTTCCCGGGCCCCATAAGGGATTCGCTTTCCTTTTCATGTCAAGCGTTTATTGGACTCGTCCCGGTTCAGCCAACACTCCCAGGCATGTTGTCTGAAGATTGTTTTCAGGTTCTCGGATTTATCAGGTTCCTGGAACTGAGATGCAAAGACACGGTGACCCTCAGCATGTCAGAGCCGGTCCAGGCGTCCACGAAACTGCCTCCATGAGGGCGCGTGGGAACATGCCCTTCACCCCTCCCTGGCACGGTTTTACCAGTAAGGGTTCTATTTTTTTTTTAAGATTCACTTGAGAAGAAGAGTGACAGAAAGTCCGCCCTCCTGGCCCAGTCCCCGCATGGCCACGCCAGCCAAGGCTGAGCCGGGCCGACATGCTGCTTCTCCAGGATGTTAGCAGGGAGCTGGACTGGAAGTGGAGCAGCCAGGACTCAAGCCAATGCCCACATGGGATGCCAGCACCACGGATGGCAACTCGGACCCCTCCGCCGCAGCACTGATGCCTTTAGCAGCCGGCTGTAACTCGGCCAGTATTGACGGTTCAGGAGACAACTGGGGCAAGTTTGCGTCCACATCTTACAGACATGGAGTGCAAGGCTGGGGACGAAGGCCGTGGCTGGTGCTTGCAGTCGCCGGAGCTGGACGGGGCTGCCGTCGGCCAGTCCTGCTCAGAGCAAGAGCTGGGCTCTGTCCTCACTTGACCACCGCAGCCCGTGCTGCCTACAGGACCATGGGAGACTCAGCGGTTAAACCCTTGAAGGTCTTTTCCCAGACAGCTACGTGGTTTCCGGTGCTGGCCAGCAGGAAGGCCTTGGCAGAGCTCAGAGAGTGCAGGAACACAGCAGGAAGACACCCGAGCATGGGCACGGGTCCTGGCAGGTGCGGCTGGACGACTCGCACGCCACACAGTCCGGAACAAGGGGCTGCAGGGCTGGCTGCCATGCCTGCGAGGGTGTCTCCCCATCACCAACGGCCTGCAGAGCTGTGTGACCCACCTCCTTCCATCTGCACACCTCGGCAAGTGTAACTCCCCGCCCCCATACCCCCAGCTCAGCGTGTCCAGCTCCTCGCAGGGCAGGAGCACACACCGACAGCTCCCTGGACCTTCCCCACTGAGGGCTGGAAGTCTCAGACCTCGGCACGGCAAGGTGGCCCTCTTCCTCTCACTGGCTGGGGGACAGGAGCTGCTAAGCACAGCAGGCAGGATCGACACCACCGGGAGGGTCCTGTGCAGAAGGCCAGCAGGTCATCACTGAGGCAGCTGTCTCCCTGGCCGCCCCTGCCCTGATGCGCCTGTCCACTCAGCACCGTCCATCACTCATGCCGCTGAGTAACAATGATCTGCTCCCAGGCGGTACAGCGCTGGGTTCCTCTGACACGCCTCTGCCGGGGCCTGAGCCGCTGGGCCACCGGGAGGCTGAGGCCTCCATAGGGGTCAAGTCCAACTCAGCAGATTTTCACACCAAATCTCGGCCTCTGCCCCCACATCTGGGAACCACGGCGAGCTAGCTAGGACAGCGGGCGGTGGAGTGGGTGCTGAAGCCCAGGCAGCCCTTGGCTGAGCCCATGTGGACAGGCCCGCTGCCTCCAGCGAGACAGCCTGGACCCAGGACAGTCCCTGAGCTGTCACTTCAGAGGGAAACAGAGACACAACACCCCATGAGGCTCTCAGAGAAAGGACAGCAGTTCGGGGCACCGAGTCTGGCCGGGCACACCCAGGGAAAAACACCCCAGCAGCAAGCCACCACCCTCCCCACCTCCAGCCCCAAAGCCACCCTCGGCATCTGGCAGCCACGGACAGGCGCCTGGGGGGAGCGGTCCCCCACTCCGAGGAGGTCTCCTCATGTCTGCCTCCAGGCAGGCAGGACGCCACTTCCCCGTGGACACATCATCGCCCCCTTCGGCGCGTCCCCGCGCGGGGAGGCGGCCACGGCATTCTTGGCTCCCTCCTGACGGCTGCACATGTGGGCCCCATTTGCGGGGGGCACCGGGAGGGGGCGGGGAGCCAGAGGGGGGTTGGTGGGACTGGCGTTAAACACTTCCACCTGAGAATGTGGAGGCAGCACCCCCCAAAGTGATGAAAGGGACCCGAGCCCAGGACGCTGCAGGGAGGGGATACAGAGAAGGCCCTGACGTGCGAGGGGGCGGCACGGACCCCCCAGCGAGAGGCTGGCAGGGTGAGCTGGTGGACGCATGCAGGCAGGGGCGAATCCCTGCCCTTGGGGTTCACAGGGACCCAGGATGCCCCAAGGAGGTCACCAGAGACCCCAGCCCCTCTGGCTCTTGCCACAGCCTGTGTCACAGCCACCCAGGGGCAATAACCCCTTGGGGACCCCACAGGGCACCCCCAAAAGGTGTGAGATCCCCGGAAACCATGCACCCATCCACAGAGCCCCAAGGCCAAGTACAAGAACGTGACCAGGCTCCAGGACAACAGGAAAGCTTGGCACCCACCAGGGCCAGCCTTGGCACGGAGGCACCATGCTGTCCAGCCCTGGCCATGCCTGCCCGCAGCAAGCGCTAGACTCCCAACACGGGCACCCCACTTCCAGGTCCTGTGCATCCCCCATGTCAGGGCCTCCCGCGCCCCTTCCAGTATGCACAGACCCAGGGCGTTCCCCTCAGCCTGTCTCCCCAGCTCCACCAGAAGCTTCAGCTTGTAGCGTGGTCGAGGAGGAAATGGAGCCCGAAGCGAGACGAGCCATCCTGATGCAGGCCCACGACACCCAGGCTGGGCAGCCTCCACGGAGAGGTGCCACGGCCCACCCAGGCCTCTCCGTGGGCTACGTCAGCACAGCACAAGCTCTCCGCAGTCTGTGACCCTCGGCAGCAGCAACCACAGGACAGACACGGAATCACGTGGGGAGCGGCCCACGTGGGAAGCAGGGTGAGTCCGTGGCAGGAGGTAGCCAGGGCAAGGCCAGTCGAAGAACAGGAAGCCTCAGCCCGGCACACTGGCTGGGACTGGAGCAGATCACAGGGCTTCGCAAACAGGACAGAACCAGTCCGACCTGCACAGGGGGCTGTGTAGGGAAAGGCTGGGCTGGAGCAAGAGAGGGCATCCCAGGACCTGAGAGACACTACGCCCCTGGTACCCAGTGGAACGAGAGGAAATGGAGCTGCAAGCACCAATGCCAGCTGGCAGACCAGGCAGCCTGCCGTGGTCTGAGAACGTTCCAGAAGAGAAGCCACCAGGACCTGAGACCAGTGGCAGGAGGCTGAGCACCAGGGACACCTGGGTCTTGCTGCCCATCAGGGCTAGGCCACCCAGCGGAACCCCTGGGCGGGGAGAGTCAAGGAGAGCCCAGACTGGAGCAGAGAGGCGCTCCAGGACGAGACAGACAGTTCCAGAACATTCTCCACTGAGCAGCCCTACAGGAAACTGGCCATGTGGGTCAGCAACTCAGAGCTGCCCAAGCTGGCCCTGCGGGCAGAGCGTGCGGTGGGAGGAGCGGGCTGGGGGAGATGCCAGGTGTGGGCTCCCCAGCCTCGAGCACTGTCCACTCAGTGACCCCAGGCCAGTCAGTATCCTACAGTCTGTAAGGCCAGCCCAGCCAGGGCTGAGCCTCCAGGGCATGAATTCAAGCTGGGACTCCAGCCACGCGTGCAACCTTCCATGGGGCTCAAGGGGGAAGATGAGGAGGGGACACCTAGCCCACGCAGCATGACCACTGCCGGACAGCAGGCACGTGGACAGCTCCCAGCACCCCGGAGAGCCTCCAAGAGCCAAGGAGCGTCGGGCAGTGCGTGTCCGTCCATCTGTCCACTGAGACGGCTAGAGACATGGGCCGGAGGGCAACGGTCAATCCGACGGGAAGGAGGGACGAGCCCTACTGGAAGGGATGGGGCCAGCGCAATTTACAGCGCCCGGAGCTGTGCCAGCCCCAGAAGGTGCCGGGGCCACTTGGCGTGGGGCCTGCCTGCGGAGCCAGGCTTTGAAAAACAACTTCCTGTCAATAAAACGCGAGCAGAGCTTGGCCGCAGCTTCAAAGCACTGAGTTATGCCTGCAGTCTGCTCACAGCCGGGCAGGGCCGCTGGCCGTGCTGGGCGCTCAGGCGCTTTTAAGCAGCCCCTCGGGTCCACCTGGAAGGGCCTGCCTCGGAAGCCCTGGAATCTGAGGTCTGGGTAAGGTGGGAGCAGCCCTGCCGTGGCCCGCAGCCGCTGGCAGCCTGGCACCGGGCTGAGCAACCATGCTGACCAAGGGCCTGCTCCACATTTGCATTTCGGAGGGAGAAGAGGAAGAGAAGGATCCGACATGTGGTTCCCATTGGCCGGGAAAAGCAGAACCATGTGCTGCTTCTAAGGAGAAAGTCCGCAGGGAGGGGCTCCCCTCCGGCCTCACGTCCCCAGCAGGAGGCCTGCCCCTTCACCTGCTCCCAGCACAGAGCAGGCGCGAGGCTGACCCAGGAGGCCTTCCTGGGAGCCGCAGGTGCAGCCACAGGGCCCTGCTGCACCGCAGCTTCAGCAACAGCCTCACTCAGCCCCAACAAGGCACTCCTATCAGTCAGGGCCCTGCAGTGCCCCGCTTGCCAGCCTCAGCCAGCAAGGATGCCTCTGACCCCATCACAGCGTGGATGTGCACCTCGTGTGGCAGAGGTCAAGGTTTTATGAAGGATGCTGCAGGAGAGACACAGCCAGACACGGCTGGCTAGTGGACTTTGCTGGGAGGCAGCTCCGGCAGCACTGGCTGGCGCCCCTCGGCGCGCAGGGACAGGACTCTGCTTGTCCCACCCCCGGCTTCCCAGCAGCTGCCTATGCCGTGGGGTCAGCTGAGACTAGGCGAGCCACTGACCTGCACGGCACAGCCTGGACTGGCTCCTGCTGCTCCCTGCCACGCCAGGGCCATCCAGCGTCTCCCACTTCCTATCACCTCTGGCCGAAGCACCCACGGCTCCCTCCCCGCCCAGGCGCAGGCAGCGCCTTGGCCCGAGGCTGCCTGCTGCAGCAGTGGCCCCAGACGAAGCCCTCTAAGGTCCCAGGCTCTGTGCCTCAGGCTTCCCGGAAGGCAAGTGTGGCACGCTGGCCTGGCACATGGCAGAAACACAAAATGTCTCAAGCAAATCAGGAACTGTGCTCGCTCTACACACGCTTCTGAGGGCTCCCCAGGGACCCTCAACAGCTCAGGTGCAGCCAAGGCCTCGATACAGCCCAAAGACCCCAGGAGCCACAGGAGCCACAGGAGCCCCAAAGACCCTAGGAGCCCCAGGAGCCACGGGTCAGGCAGGGGCCACGTCTGCCCCCGACAGACAGGAGCGGGGTCCTGGGGACGCTTTGACTTGGGACAGGAGGGCTCCAGGGCCGCAGGAAGACCTGCCACGTTGGTCATGCAGGAGCAGCTGGCCTCACCGCATAAAGACCTCAGTAGCCCCGCACTTCCCCTGCCATGCTCCTCCGTCCCCGTGGCACTGGCTCTGAACTTCTGAGCAGTACTGACAAGGGAAGTGCCACACGCAGGGGAGCGAGGCCGGGGGCTCTGGCCAGGCCTGGACAGCAGAGGCCCCAGGTTCTGCCCCAGTGACCTTGACCCTAAGACAGTGCAGGCGGGGCCCAGTGCAGGTGCATAAACACCCATGAACCTGTTCCCTCTCCCTCCAGTGCCCCCTGGGCCCTTGCCACCCCCAGGTTTGCAGGGTGTGTTACATGTCCAGGGGGACACTCAGGGCTTTACTTCCCGCATCCTGGGCTCTCAGGACACTGCCGGCAGCTGGGCAGCTGCTCCCAGCAAAGGGAGCCGAGCGTGGGTGGCTCGGAGTCCCAGGGTCAGCTAGCACCAGGTCACTGCCTGCCAAGTCTCCTCAGGCTCTTGCCCATCACCCTGGGGAACGTCAAGGTCTGGCCTGGTCACACTGAGCCCCACAGCGTGCTGGGCACCAGCAGTCACTGGCACAGTCGCCTCAGGGCCGCCCGCTGCTGCCCTCGCAGGCATGGGGCTGGCGGAGCCCCTGCAGCCGGAGCCCCTGCAGCCGGGGCTGACAGGCTCTCCCTTGGGGAGGTGCCTCGAGCGGTCAGCAGGATGTGCTCACCATCCCCTTAAAGACGCTCTCGGTGGTCTGGAGCTTCAGGGGTCCTGAACTTAAGTGTGGAAGGATCTACTTCCCAAACTGCCAGGCACCCCGAGCAATCCCCACCAGCCCAGCAGCCTCTCAGAGCAGGGCCTGCGTGCCCACTCACGTGGACAGAGCCACCCAGCCTCTCCAGCTCCCCACCCCAGCAGCCACACGCCACCTGCTGGACACTCGTGCCACACCGGACTCTGAGGTGCGTGGGTCACTGTGAACCCTAGCTGACCAGTGGCCTGATGACAGGAAATGAGAAATTTCTCCAAAGCAAAGAGCAGGGCCTGGAGCTGACACTCAGTAACCACGGTGACCACCTCCCCACAAGGATGGACTGGGAAGCTCCTGCTCCAAGGCAGGCCGGTGGGCGGGCCAGCCGGTGGGCGGGCCAGCGGGTAGCTGCTGGAGAACCTGGGCAGGCCTCCTGCCAAGTGACACTGCATAACCGATTGCAGCTGGGAGCGTGGGGAATCCACTCGCCAGGAGCTCAGCTCGCACCTGTGTACACAGCGCGCAGGCCCTTCCAAGAAGGGCCCTCCTGCTGCCGTCAGGGAACTGCTCAAGAAGGGTGCCTCACCTTGCACGGAACTGTGGCGTCACAGCCAAGCTATGACCTCTCCCCTGGAAAAGGCCCAATTCCAAGGGTGACTGCGGTCTCCAGGGCTGCCTGGGTTCGAGTCCTGGCTCGGCTTCCAACGCCAGCTTCCTGCCATCTTACGCAGGAGACAACAGGGCTGATGAAGCACTGGGTCACTGCGGAGAGGCCCAAGGGAGCGCCGGCCGCAGCGGACATCTGAGAAGTGAGCCAGGAGACAGAAGATATTCATCCATGCTCTCTCTTGCTCTCTCTCATTATCATCCAAGTAAATAAACAAATCTTTTAAAACACTCACACAGCCCGGCACGGTGGCCTAGCGGCTGAAGTCCTCACCTTGAACACGCCAGGCTCCCATATGGGCGCCGGTTCTAATCCCAGCAGCTCCACTTCCCATCCAGCTCCCTGCTCCTGGCTCCCGGCTTCGGATCAGTGCAACATCGGCCGTTGTGATCGCTTGGGGAGTGAACCATCCAAAGGAAAATCTTCCTCTCTGTCTCTCCTCCTCTCTGTATATCTGACTTTGCAACAAAAATAAATAAATCTTTTTAAGAAGCATTCACACATACTAATAACATTGCTGAAAGACGAGTGCATCCGTTGATGCATTCCGCTCCTACGGGCTAAAGAAGAGCCAGCGCATGATTCATCAAGCAATGAAGACCCGACTGCTGCTCACAGCTGAGCCCTGAGCGGGGGCCTGGAGGCAAGCGGACATCAGCCTGCCCCGAAGCAGGTGCCTCCCACGCCAGCAGTGAGTGGGGAGTCTGCTTCAGTACCCCAAAAGTAAAACACCTAGATGCAGCCCATGTGCAAGATCCGTATGGGGAAAACAGAAGATTCTTTTTTAAAAAAAAAAAAGTTTATTTATTTTCATTGGAAAGGCAAATTTTCAGGCAGGAGACACAGAAAAGTCTTCCATCCATTGGTTCACTCCCCAAGTGGCCACAATGGCTGGAGCTCAGCTAATCTGAAGCCAGGAGCTTCTTCCAGGTCTCCCACGCAGGTACAAGGTCCCAAGGCTTTGGGCTGTCCTCGACTGCCTTCGCAGGCCACAAGCAGGGAGCTGGATGGAAAGTGGGGCTGCTGGGACACGAACTGGCACCTGTATGGGATCCCGGCTCTTGCAAGGTGAAGATTTAGCCACTGAGCCATCACACGGGCCCCAGAGGAGAAGACTGACGAAAGAAAGGCCCAAACGGACTGAGACACTCCAAGGTCCTTGTCAAGACGCTAGTCCCTCCCAACCGTGTTGGCAGACCCGATGTCCATCACCCCAGTGTCGTGGGGGGGCTGTACCCTGTCCCCCACAGACGTGACCACTTCTCCCACTGGATTCTCCTGGGGCCGCCAGCTCCTATGCTGCCACCTCCCAGACCCGTGGCCTCTCTACTCTCCTGTGTCCTTGGAGGCCTGTCTCCATCTCCCGGTCACTGCCCTGCCCGCTGTCTCACGTCCACAAAGAACAAGGCACACGGACAAGGAAGGGTGGGCAAGGTAAGGGCATCAACGAAGACCGAGAAAGTTCTCTGGCAGCCCAGAGCCATGCTTACCTGACCCAGCCGTGTATGCTCCTGAACAGGAAGTTCTCCCAGTGAGTCTAGGTGTATGCAGATGAGGTGTGCTGCTTGGACCAATCAGGGGGCTGCTCTGGGGGATCCAGCCCTCACCCCTTCACAAGAGTCAACTCAGATGGAGCCGGGAGTTCAAGTGTAAGCCTGCAGCCCTCCCGGGAGCTGTGTGAACTCCCAGAATTCCTTGGAGATGCAACACCTAAGACGTGAGACAAGAAGCAAAGAAACGGTGAGAAACTGAGAGAAAACACCTGCAAAAGACATTCCCAAAATACACCAAGTTCCTGCGCCCTCACCACCCACTTCCTAAGAACATGCGCCACCCAGGAAGAAGCAGGCAGGAGTCCTGAACCGAGGACTCAGGAAGAAAGGCTTGGAGACGACAGAAGTGGAGGAGACGGTCCTCGTCACACGTCACCAGGGAGTCTCAGATCCCATTCCGCTGTGAGGACGCTGGAACAGTTACAGCACTGGGGCCGGAGAGGGCGCGGGCGGCAGGCGCGGGCGGCAGGTGCTCAGACCCAGCACTGATGAGGCTGCAAGGGTTCAGCTGACTTCAAGAAGGTTCAGCGGTGGACAAGTGGTGGCACCTGCCGGCATGAGTGTGTGCTGGGGGGTGAAGTCAGTTGGGTTGAGTTAGACTTCAGTGCCCAGTGATGGACACGAGATCTCCATGGGATTAGGGCAGACTGGACCAGTCCACTGCACATGCTGGCAGGCACAGGAGCGGGGGGGCCGGTCCAGTGGGGGTTATTGGGGGTCGCTCTGGCTGGGCTGCAGCTCCCCCGTGGTACATGAGGGCCAGGTGCGTGTTGGGCAGGGCTGGCTGGACTGACTTAGAGGGTAAAACAAATTGGTCGACTATCCCAGTGAAACTTGACAGCAAATTTCTGGGCCAGTGGAGACTCGGAGGTGGAGTGTGACAGCGAGACGACCTCGGAAGGATTTTCTCATCCGTGGAGCAGCGATATGAGCAGGATCTCAGAACTCTGGGAAACACATGAACAGACCCCTCAGAAAACGCTCCGCAGTGGGGACCCTGGGGTGACATCGGGTGGCAGTTCCCCAGTCCCCGGGGTAATGCAGCGGTGAGGAGCCCGGGCGTGGTTTCCCCTCTCCCCTGGCTACAGGAAGGACATGTGTAAACAGGGGTCTCACCCACGGCCCCCTGATCCTCAACCCTTCCCACCCTCATCGACTGTGTAAACACCATCAATAATAAAATTTAAAAGAGAGATGGTTCAGCGGCTTCTCGCAAAGCAGCTGCTCCAAGCCAGCGGCGTCCTGGGTGCTTCCCCACCGTCCTTGAGCAGGCCTTGTGACGACACAGGTGGTAGAGCAGGTGCAAGGGACTGGCAGCCACCAGAAACTGGAAGGGGCTGGAAACAAGTCCGGGCCTGGAGCCCTGAGGAAGCCTGGCCTGGCACGCACCTCAACGGGACCAGACACGCTGTTCCAAGGCGCAGTGGCCACCAGCTGCTCCCGCGGGAAGCTGTTGCTGCCCGGGTGCCACCAGCACGCCACCTCACCCCCCCTCCACCACGTGCCGCCCCGCCCTCCCGCCCCCCGTTCACCCATATTGGTTTTGCTGCAGCTCAGGGTGGACTGCACATACTGTCGCATTCTTACTAACACATCCAAACTCACTCATGTTTTGCTTTGGTTGTGCATTTCACATGCAGTGCCTGGCTCTCAGGTGTGCACCTGCTAAGCTTGGCCAAGCCCTTGCTACCCTCCAGAGGCAACCACAGGCCGATTTTTCTATCACACAATAGTTTTGACTATTCTAGCATGTTCTATGTATAGAATCATCTCCATGTACCGTGCTATGTGAGGCATTTCATTCGAGGCCATGAGAGGAAAATGGCTACAGACATTTTGGGGCAAATTTTTACAAATTTGTGTTTTTCCTTCTTTGGATCAATGCTTAAGAAGGAGATGCTCTGCTTTTTCTTTTTTTAAGATTCATTTATTTTTATTACAAAGTCAGAGAGGACTTTGTAATACAGAGAGGAGGAGAGACAGAGAGGAAGATCTTCTGTCCAATGATTCACTTCCCAAGTGACCGCAACAGCCGGTGCTGTGCCGATCCGAAGCCAGGAGCCATGAACCTCTTTCCGGGTCTCCCACATGGTGCAGGGTCCCAAGGCTTTGGGCCATCCTCGACTGCTTTCCCAGGCCACAGGCAGGGAGCTGGTTGGGAAGCGGGGCTGTGGGATTAGAACCAGTGACCATGTAGGATCCCGGCATGTTCAAGGCGAGGACTTTAGCCACTAGGCCACGCTGCCGGGCCCCTCTGCTTGTTTTATTATTTATTAGTTTTTAAGTCAGTGTTACACAAAGACAGCGAGATAGAGAGAGATCTTCTACTCGCTGGTTCACTGCCCAGATGGTCACAGTGGCCAAGACCAGGCCACAGCCAGGAGCCAGCAGCTTCTTCTGGGTCTCCCACATGGCGCAGGGGCCCAAGGCTTTGGCCATCCTCGACTGCTTCCCAGGCCACAAGCAGGGAGCTGGATGGGAAGCGGAGCAGCCAGGACTCAAACGGACACCCACGGGACGTCAACGCGGCAGACAGTGGCCACATCAGCCCCAAGAAAGCCATTCTTGAGCCACTGGAAGGCTTTTGAAGTCACGGCAAGTTGTGTGTCCCCGGGGTGTCCCGAGAGCCCTGAGCCCTGCCGGCATGTGTCCCGGGGGTCCCGAGAGCCCTGAGCCCTGCCGGCATGTGGAGTTCCAAGTCTTTTCAGTCTTGGTCCTTCTGGTTTAGAAATGGCCATTTTCTAATGTTTTTACACCAAACGGGCTTCCACCAGGGCTGCCACGTGTGCCTGTGGCAGAAGGCTAATGAGCCACTCGGGCTGTGACTGAGCCATGACCAATGCCGCAACCCAACCTCAAAGAGAAAATGGGGCCGTGTCCTGGCTAAGGGGCAGTGCCGCCTGTCGCCTGAGCCTGGGCTGCTCCCAGCGACACACAGGGGCTGGCAGAGGACCATGTGAGAAGTGGGGCAGGCACGGGGGAGGGGAGGTACTCACAGGGGACCAGCCCGTGTTCCCGGAAGTAACCACGCCAGGTCAGAGGGCGTGTGCTTCCACGTACTGTGTACATAAGTAATGGCACAGTACATTAAATCTAGGCGATGGAGTGTGAAGGAGATGGCCAGGACCCTGCCTCTCCCTGTTTATGGGGAGGGGAGCATGGAGGGACCCAGGTCTATGGGGAGGGGGAGAGCAAGAGGGACCCACAAGTCCATGGGGAGAGGGAGGGGAGCAAGAGTACCCACCCCCCGGCCTGTGATTGGCCAGCATCCATAGCTAGTCATCCTCTTGGCCATGACAACATGATATCCACCCACGGCCAGGTCTCAGTACCGCCCCTGCCATCCCATCCTAGCTCTGAGGCCTGGCTCCACCCTGGGAGAGAGGAGACAGCTGCCCTCCCTGCTCTGGTCCTCTCTGTCAGGTATTCCCTGCCTGGCGGGCCCCTGGGGGACAGGCCCTGCTCAACTGCCAGCCCCACTTAGCCCCTCAAGACAAGGTGGAGCCTTGGAGAGCACTGTCCAAAGCAGCCCCCCAAAGCTCTGGCCCCACTGCCTCTGCTGCCTGGCCCCCAGGGTGGCTGTGGCTCACCAAGGAAGCCACGTGGCCCCGACCACCACCCGTGTCCCAGCCCCCTTTCCCTGCCCCTCCACGGCTCTGCATCTTCCGCCCTCCACTGCCTCTGCTGCTGAGCCTCCGGAGCCCAAGAATGTCAGGTGGTCCTGACCCCCACCTGTGCCCACCCCAGCCCCCGTCTCTCCTCTGCATTCCTTTCCTCTCCCCAGCACATGGGTGCTTCCCCAGCTGGGTGGTAACTGGTCTCCCACACTGGCATCCGTGTTCTTTCCAACGTGCTGTGATCACACAGACTTGTCTGTAACATTGAGGGCACAAAAATTCAACCTTTAAGGTTCGGAAGACCTCTCCAAGGACCATCTAATCCAGAGGGTTTCAGCAAAGAATTGATTTTTAAATTTTATTTATTTTTTATTATTATCATTTTACGATACTGTTCCATAGGCTCCTGGTATTTCCCTTATCCCAGCCCCAATCCACTCCCCGCCACCACCTAGTTCCTCTATATCATTACTAAAGTATAGTTCTTCATACTCAGTCATGTGTCCATCATTGCGGGCATGGACAATGGCAGAGAGTCCAGCGTCCTATTGTCAAGATATAGTAAACAGTTTCATTGGAAGTCCATCTTTGTCTGGAAGCAGAAATGCATACTACACTGCATCCTCACATCTGGATGTTAGTCTCCATTTCACAGCTACTGTACATCCCTCAAATGAAAAGTCATGATACAAAATCAACAATAGGAAGAAAAATAGAAATTTACAATGCCAAGAAGTTAAATGACATGTGACTAGATATGACAGTCTCCATTATACAGCTACTACACATCCCCTTAAATGAAGAGCCTCAAAACAAAATCAGCATCAGGGAGAAAACACCATGAAGTTAATTAACATGCTCCTGAATGACTAACGCGTAGCTGAAGAAATGAAAATCAAGAACCTTCTTGCAGAAGGTGATGCTACTGCATGATGAATGAGTCAGTGACGTATTTAATCAGAAGAAAGCGTTTTGAAGAGATGAAGCTAGCAGAGAAGCATCAAAACCCGTGCAATAGAGTTTCCGTTGATTTTTCAGCAAAGAATTCTGAAGCGTGGGTGCTCCCCACTGCTCCCCGGGCCCAGGCAAAGTCAGAGCTGCAGAGGCTCTTGGAAGGGGCCATGGATGGGTGGTCATTGCCAGGGTGGACAGCGCTATGTGCACGGCACCCCCGCCCTCCTCGCCACCCGCTCAGCTGCCCCAGAGCCTCAGCACACCCTGTAGCAGCTGTCTCCCTCCTCCTAACGCATCTTTACTCTTGTGTGTTAGCCTCAACACCATCCTGCTGTGGGCGGGGGGTGGGGGGCTGGAAGGACCACTCATCCAGGCACGCAACACTGTTAATAGCACTCACCACCATTTAAAATTGTGAGTTAACTGCCTTCCTCCACCCGCAGCCTGCCTACTAAATGTCTCCCTCATCGTAAGCTGCAAGGCTGTGAGGTTCCTTGGGGTCTTTGTGCTGCCCCTGGTACCAACTCAGGCACTCGGCCGGCACAGGACCAGCGGATCCGCCACCGCCCTCCTCCTCTCTCAGCCAGCTGAGGTGCAGAGATAATCGGTGACAAAAGAGAAAAGGCCAGGGGGCAGGCAAGGACAGCCCTGGCCCCGAGTTCTCTTGTAACCAAGGGGTCCAGCGCAGCAAGTGTGCAAATGTTTGTGTCCCCGATTACTTTGATAGAAAGATTGGCATACCGGTTTGAAGGACAGAGCTATAGACGGAGGGAAGGGAAGAGAGAAAAAGACAGATGTTCCATCTGCTGGCTCACTCCTCAAATGAGCAAAGTGGCTAGGGCTCGACTGGTCCAAAGCCGGGGTCCAGGAGCTTCTCCCGGGTCTCCACATGGGTGCAGGGCCCAAGCACTTGGGCCATCCTCCATTGCTTTCCCAGGTATGTTAGCAGGGAGCTGGATGGGAAGTGGAGCAGCTGGGACTCTAACTATCCATACGGGATGCCAGCAGCTGTAATCCCAACACCACCCTCCCTGATTATTGGGCACAAGCAAGCAGAAGCAGAATTTTGGCTTGAGTGGGACAATGTTCTCAAGCCTTGCCCCACTGCCTTCCAGAAACCAGAGCACGTCAAAGAACCT